TTTGAATTTTTATGCTAAAACATTAAACTGAGGAAGTGTGTTGTTAGTAAAGTTGTAAAACTAATCCCTCTGAAAGGCTCTTGGGAATTCATATTGCTTTAAAAATATTATTTTCCTACTAAACTTCAGAGGCAGTATGTGGCATTGTATGGCTGTGACTAAAATGTTAGTTAAGCATCTCTCTCTGGGGACTTGTTTGGTCATGCCCTACACCTGAGTCAGGGCAAACATGGGTATTTACCATTCCATCACATTTCTGGGAACTGGATCCTTTTCTGGAGCAGTAAGGAATGACATGCATATACTCAATTTTTAATTTTACTTTTAGGAATGGCCTAAATTATCTTTTGAAGTCTTTCCAGACCACCTCATGTTGCAGCCATAACTCACTATTTGTAAATGTTTGTTTTGAAAAGCAGCAGTGCTTTTCAAAACCTCACCAATGTGTTTCTCAAATCATGGAACAAATCTTGGAATAGATTAAAACTTGCACAATAGAAAGGCACAATAAAAAGTAATTTTTCATAACTAGGTGGTCTCATTGTTCATTTGGATTTTTTTTTCTGTTTTCAGACAAAATTTTTAGTCTGTTCTACTCGCATGAAGACACAGATATGTGCAAACTTCTTTTGTATCAGCTTACAAAATGTCACTGACTTAAGTGATTCAAACTATTAGGAAGAGTTAAAAATATATTGCTGAAATTAAAACTTTGATATTTGAAAATGCTTTAAATAAACTCCTACAGTTTTTTCCACTCGACTGTTCAACATTGAGATCTCCAACATGAACAACTGCCTTGAGAATTAACTTCTACAAGCAACATTATTTAGATCCTGGGCTTGGTTCTCACATTTTAATACATCTGTTGCATCTCATTCAATCCTGAAAGGGATAAAGTAGGCAAGTAACTCTCTTTATGTGAGCTGATAGATATTTTGAGTAATTAGACAGCTTTAAAGGTGAGTCTGTGAGACATTCTCATTACACATAACACTTCAGTGCTTTCCAAAGGTGAGAGGATAGGGGTAGAAGTGGAGGTGGGGGTATGGGAGGGGTGGTGGTAGGAAAGGGCAGGTTGTTATCTCTCCATTTTTACTATATGGAGTAAATCTCTCCGTACTTGCTTTCCCATACATTTTATGAGAAGCTGCAGTTTTTCATTTCTGCAGTAAAACTGCAGTTGGGTTTGATTTTGTTTTTTTTTAAATCGTTGGCAAAAGTTCACTTTTCTGTGAAGAGAAAGAAGCAGGAAATGTCAGTGAATGAGCTCAAGCTGTTTATAACTGTGTGTGCTTTATTTAGACTATAATATATATAATGTGGGAGTCTGGAAACCCGAATTGTGAGTGACGCCAGGAGAGCACTCTGGGCTGGTGCTGTGGGTGATTTCTGCACTATGACGTTTGTTTGCAGAATGCAGGGGTCAGGTGTGCTTTCAGTTTTGGTTGACTTTTGTTTTCTCATGGTTAACCATTCAGGGGAAGAATCTGTAAGCAACAATCCCTCGCGTTTGTTCTTTTTCATTTATGTACAATACTAACGGTAATTAAATTATAATTTGATGAGAATATGGTTTTTTCCAATTATTTTAGAGCCCTTTAGGCAGATTTATCAGGTGAAAGCAAATAAATGAAGCAATTTTTGTCTAAGAAGGGAGTTAGCACACTGCAAGAGGTTCTTTATACAGTGCCAGGAATGTCTTGTCTCCTGAAAGTTAAAAGGTTCACTGAGTAAAGTATGTTGAGCACCATTCTGACTTCACTTGACTATCATCTGTTAGTGGCAGCCTTCCTGCACCTTTCTCAGTAGTGGGATATCACTTAAATGCTCAAGAAGTGCTCAGGCCAGTCTTCCTTGGGCAGTAAAAATACATTACAGTAAGGTAGTGACTGACCACGCAGAAATCCCGAAAAAGTATTGCTAGTTTTGATTGTCAATAAAAATGGTTAAGAAAAAAATTATTTTTGAAGAACTCTAGAGAATATTGATGGCATGAATTACAAGTTCACAGCACTTACTGTTTTTTCTGTAGATGTCTCCCTATTTAGTGCTGTTCCAAGACATGAGCCTGCATGAGCCCAAGCACTGGCAGGAAAATGATCTGCTGTGAAGTAGGTGATAAAATGCCTGCCGGTAATCAGTTGTTTCACTCCTTAAAGAACTGTGAGAAGAGCTAACTCCTCTCTGTTATTTTACTTGCTGGGTTGTCTAATTGTATAATTTTTGTCTGCAGACAGTGTTTCAGTGAGTAGGACTGGATCACAGTGTTTGCATACACAAACACAGAACTGTGTACACCTGACACACCTGCACTTCAAACATGTATCTCCATTTAACTCTTCAAAAGATGGGTGCAAAATGTCCTTGTGTCATGGTTGTGTCATTTTGCCAAAGAGACAAGTGATCCAAATGCACAAGGTGTCTCTAAGACTTGGTGAAAATGAGGGCATGGTATTTTGGCTTTTTAGCTCTGCTTTAATTGCATTCCTTATTAGGGATAGCAAATATGAGATAATCTCCTTCATTGAACAGAAAACCTTATTAAAAATAAACAAATGGAGTTCATGGTCAGTGTTTTTATCTGTTGATGGCCAGCTGGGCTGCAGATGGGCTTGTGCTCATTTCACTTCTATCAGAAATTAATTTAGTCGTGAAGGCTGAGGAGGCTCTACCAGTTTCCTGTTGTAGTCAGTAATTTACAATGAGTAAATATTTCCTCCACTTTATCTCAAATTTTCTGGTATCTTTGATTCTGCCTAGCCTTTGCTAAAGTTCTAAGAAGTTAATTGTCTGTACAAGTGAAGAATTTTAGTTGTCTTTGTCAGCCTTAATCTCTTTCCTTGACACAAGAATTTCTTTCCTTAGCATAGTTCACTAGAAAAAAGGGGTTTTTTCTTTACTGAGGAAGAACCTAGAAGACTCCTTTACTTTGTCTCTGCTACTGTTGCTGGAGAATAAGTGTGTTATGGAAGTAATGCCAACTTCTCTAGTGAGAGAGCTCTTTCAGGGTTGATCCAGAAGTGGAAACAAGAGGAAAGAAAAAGCTGTTGGCTGCTCCAGGATCAGAATCATTATTAGAATGATAATTTCTGATTCTAATATTAAGTATCAGAAATTGCAGTTGACATTTCTTGTCCTGCAGTTTCTGAAGGTGTCTGTAGCTTGTCACAGATATTCTTGCTGTTTCTTGTGAACATTGGAATCAGGATGGATAATTGAGTGTACAAATCCATTGAATGCACTTCTCTCTCTGTTTTCTCTTGAAATCGCATTTGTATTTTGCTTTGTGCATGAGGCTTGAAAGAAATGGGATTTTTTGGGTGGTGATGAGCTGGGTGTGAACTTACTGTACTGAAGTTAATGCTTATGAGGATGGGAGGGCACTTAAAAGCTGGGCATTTAGGAGTGCATGTTTAGGTCAGCATCTCAGAAATGTTCTGTGCAAATAAATGGGGCAAAACATGCATGTGTTCCTCAAAACATTATTTTCATCTTTACATCCTGTGGTTGTGTTGCAGTAATCTATTTATTTTCCTGTCAGTGTCTCTGACATGGTTCCTGTGACTTCAGGAGGCTGCAGCAGTTCCTGCTTCCTGTTTTAGATGAAAATGCTCAGTTGCAGTGTGTGGGCAATCCACAGTATCCCATTCAGTACCTCATGGCTGTATCCATAGTGCTTCACAAAATCAGTGCTCAAGTCACAAACAGTTACAGTTTCATAAAATCACTGTTTTGAAAGACATTTGACTCAAACTTTTTCTTCTAGTTTTTGCAGAAACAGAATAAAATTGATGCAACCTCTCTTAAGGGGAAGGGATGCATTTTAAATTGAGCCTTTTTTATTTGTCAATGCTTGTGTTCGGTCAGTGCTCAGCTCACTAAGGGTTAAGTTGCTCTAGAAGACAATGAGGTGAGATCTTATAAATTTGGGCTAGGGGTAAAGCATTTTGCAGTTCTTTTTGTCAGTGATTTAACCTTCCAATGTCACTGATACTCAAATGCAATTTTCACATTTGGTGGGTGTTTGGTAGCCAAGTGAAAATTGCTGGATGCTATGGTGATGTGTCATTTTCTTTAAAGATGTGAGCAGGGAAAGAAACAAAGAACTCTGTAGCCAAAATTTCTACCAATAAGCAAAAACAGGATGGATTCAAAACTGTCTCTCTGGTCGTTATTTTAGAGCTGGTTGTTCATTAACCCTGACTTCCTGCAATTGTTCCCAAAACTGATGCATGCTGTATTTTTTAAGAAAAAAGAGTGCTGGAGACTTAGGCTTCTATGGAAGATGGGCTTTACTGCTTTCAGACAGTAGGAAACAGATAATTTCATTTAGCACTTTAAAGGGAATTGTCACTGGCTTTGCTGTGATACCTTTTGTCCCCTGTGTGGTAAATAGAACTTGTAAAGCTTCCAGAGGTAACTGGTTTTGTCTGCCTCCATCATTTGGTGCTGAGAAGTCAAAGTTGTAATCTCTGGTCTTCCCATAATAAATTTGGGAGTTTAGGCAGTGTTTCTGTATCCCATAATGTAGCCTGGTACACTTGCTGTTGCAGTAAAATCAGAATTTCAGTTCTTCCTAACTGTGTGAAACATGGATTCTAAAATACCTGTTTGCAGATGCCAAGAAACCTGCCAAGAATCTGTTCAGTGCTGAGATTGTCTTGAGTTTGGGACTGGGAGGTATTAGGGAATGTGGAAAGAACCTGCTGTTTGCTGTCACCCTGAAAGCTGGGATGCTTCATTGTGGCTCTGCTCTGAACCTGTGTGTTCACTAAAACAACAACAACAATCACTGTCAGACTGAAATGAGGGGGACCAAAGACCCCTTGTCAGGGGTGGTTCAGCTTCCCCTGGCTTAGCAGACCTGACCTGCAGCACTGCTTTGCACAGTTATTTCTTAGTCCAATAAGTACTGAGAGATTGGAGGTGGAACAATGTGTTTGTGCAGGTTTGGTTAAGAGTGACTCTAACCAGTTCTGGTGGTCTCTGTCTTGCAGTTTTGGAACCCTTATTGCCATTGGAGTTACTGTTTTTGCAGTGATTATCATTACTATTATTCTGTGCCTCACCTGTTCCTGTTGCTGTCTGTACAAAGCATGTCGAAGACCACGGCGTAAGTAGCTCTAGATTTATTTTCTTTTTCACATCTTTGAAGAGGATTTTTTTTATCCCTCCTGGAAAATTGTGTTTCTGTAAGAGGTGAAAACACTGCTCAGAAGTTGCAATACCTAAATATTAAAAATAAACATTTAAGCCGCTACAAAATGTGTAATTACAGAGATGTTTTGGAATATCTTCTGAACATTTGGAAGTTCCCTTCCTTCCCACGATGTGACGGGGGGTCTGGGAGTTGTTTGGGGTTTTTGTTTAGGGACCACCAGCACTAACCATGTTCCTTTTCCTTGCCTGTAGCTGTGGTGACCACCACTGCCACCACAACGGTGGTTCACTCTGCCTATCCCCAACAACCAGCAGTGCCACCCAGCTACCCAGCAGCTCCATATCAAGGCTACCAGCCCGTGGCTGTCCAGCCCCAGCCGGGGATGCCAGTGGCTCCATACCCTACACAGTACCCTCCCCCTTACCCCATGCAGCCGGCGGGACCCCCAGCTTACCATGAAACTGTGGCAGGTAAGGCAGCACCAAGTGCTTCTTCATCTCCTAAACAGCTAAAGGGAGACAATTGCTCTGGAGAAAATCTTGTGTTATTTACAGTTGTTATTTTCTTTGGCTGTGTTAATATAAATGTAAACAAATTAAGTGAAACTCAAGTTATGGTGGATGCTGTTATTCACCCTGGTGGAAATTTCCCTATCGCTGTTGCTATGTTAAGCACTACCAGAGGAGGTGTGAGCTGGAGCTGTACTGGCAAAGTTTGGCAATGTGTGGGACTGTCAGCAGATCCAGTAGAACATTCTACTAATTTAGCTGACATTTAATATTAAAATCAAACCAAATTAACATATATATATACACATGAGTTAGATATTTCCACATTCCCTTTCTAATCTAATATTTGCTAGCTCTATTCTGTAAAAGTTTGTAGTGACAGGACAAGAGCGAGTGGATTCAAACTAAAAGACAGCAAGTTTAGATTATTGGGAAAAGTTATTAGGAAAAATTTGTTTTCTGAGAGGTTTGTGAGGCCCTGGCAGAAGCTGGTCAGAGAAGCTATGGACACATCTCTAGAAGTGTCCAAGTCCAGCTTTGATGGAGCTCTGAACAGCCTGGTCTCATGGAAGATGTCACTGCCCATGACAAAGGATTGGAAGGAGAAGTCTGTTTACAACTTGCAGTTAGAATTATCAGAACCTTTTTTCTTCAGCTGTCCTTCTTTCACAGCATTGTTTTCATGCAACCTTATTGTTGCAATGACTAATTCCTACTTCTGCTGGCAATAGCTGTTCTCTGAACAATTGACTGCAGACTGCTCAGAGGGGCCAAAACTAGGCTGTTACCTGTAGGATCTTCAAGCCCTCTTACAAATCTCACTATTCATCCTTTTAAGTAACAAAGTATAGTCTGACTAGCAGATAATGCCCTTAGAAAGTAACTTCCAGGGCAACTCGAATATAAAATAGCTTTTCATCGTGTGAAAGATTTGCAAACAGTGAGAAATTGTACATTAATAATGTGCAAACCAAGCCCCACATGTGAAAACACTCACTTGGCAGGACTGTTGACTCTATTTTTCTGTTATAAATGCCAAAGAAGCTGTGGGTTTTACAGGATTATGCCAAAGTGCTTTGGCTTCATCTTTTTCATATGAGAGAGCCAATAAATTAGTCATTTAACTTCTCTCTGGTTTCTCAGGCTGTTGCTGGTCTGTTAGTTTTTAAAAATTGTTTTGTTTTTCTTTCTGGGAACACACCAAAACACTTTCCATCTTGGCAGCTGAAAATGCCACACAGTGAGAGTTCTTTCCTTCATTTCTCCTTCCTGTTAACCAAGGAGCAGGCTGTTAATTAGGTCACATGCCAGGAGAGAATACCTGCTCTGCCACACAGGAGCCAAACCCACTCACTTTACAAGATCAGCAGAAGATAACCACACTTGCACTTTCCAGGGATCTGATCAGGTGTTACTTGAACAAACTTGTGCTGTTTGACAGAGCTGAAAATGAAGATGCCACTTGAGAGCAGCTTTTCTCAGAGTAGTAGAAAATAAGGATCTCTTCCAAGGGATGCACATCTGGTATATAAGTCAAGCTCTTTCTTGTGCTCAGCAGTGGTGGGATATTTTTTCCCCTTCTATTTTACTTTCTTAATTAATTTTTTGACACTTAGCAGGAAGACATTTTCCTTGAAGGAATCCTAGGTTGATTTCTCTAGTCCTTTTATTTTTGGCCTTTGTTTTTTTCTCAGCACACTATCAGATATACCCACTTGTATGTGCACCCCTGACTTCCACTGGCTCTTTTTTTGAGTTGCATCTGTTCCGTTTTTTTAGACTAGATTCTCTCCTGAAGGCTACTTAGGTACACTCAGCATCAAAGAAGCCCCAAAGCCAACAAGAACAAAGATTTTTGTGATCTTACTTCTGAAATGCAGATGTTTTATGACTGAGCACAAGCTATTTCCAAGTCCAATTAAGATACTGGCTAAGTTGAACCTCTTAACCATGTGTTCAAAGCAGAAATTGCCATTTTATATGTAGAATTTAGAATGTACATTTTACAAATCTGTTTTTTCTTGTCTTTTGTTTTTGCAGCTGGTGATGGAGCCCCTTACCCCACCCAGCCCCCTTACAACCCTGCTTACATGGATCCTCAGAAGCCCACCTATTGAAAAGCTCCTCTACTGTGCTTCTGCATACAAAACTTTTCAAAATATAATTTGTTCTGTTTACACCACGCACCTGTATTATATTTTCCTGAAAGACAACAATCTTTTGTCTAAGTAGAGTGAAAATCAATTCAGTATATTCTTTTTTTTTTAATACTCCAAGGAAGGAGTATTTTTCTTGCAGAAGTTAATTTATACCTCAAGCAAATACAAAAAGAATTTTTGCTCTAGATACAATGAGAGAAGCGTGAAGGAGTGTTTCAGAAGTACAGAACCACAATACCATTTGCTGTGCAATACTTTTGAGATGAATGATCTAATATGAGCATTGTCAAATACCCAAAGCTGTAGCAATCTTTTGCACAGTATTAAAATGTAAAAACTTAACCTCTAAGAAACTACCTGATATATGTTATGTAAGTTCTGACTGTTTTGAAGCTTCTATTCTTAGGTAAGCTACCATTTAATACATTTCATTTACTATTCAAAAGGGAATTTCCCTTTCTTGCAACACATGTACCTTTGATAAGGGGTAGTAAACCGTGTTTAATTGCCTTTGAGCTAATTCTAAATAGCACCAGTTGGTTATTTCCTTGTTTTCTGTTCCAATGTTAAGGTTTATAAACTGTGCCTCCATCGGGTGTTATAGCTAGAAATTAAGACTCCCTGCCACTTAATGGACCAAACAGATCAAAAGCTGAAACCCTGAAAATTCTTCATAGAAATTATTGGATGAGTATTTCTTGTTCAGGTAGTATTGGACAAGCTTACTTCAACCATCTGTTGTTGATGAGTTTGGAATTAAAATCAGCCCCTTAATCACATGTTAAGCAGAGTACCTTGGCAGCTTTCAGTCCTGCCTCATCACAGAGAAGGAATTTATTTTACAGGAGAGATGGAATATCAGCAGAAGATTGGGGTTTTCAAATGCTCAGGGTTTTTCCACCGTCTCTAGTGGGAACTGTAGGTGGCAGGAGCCTAAGAATTACAGAACTCTGTAAATCCAATCTGCATTGGAGTAACAGTATGCTGGGTGAGGGGCCACAGTGGGCATTAAACCTCCCTTTTGTCTTCAACATTCCTGTAAAGCTGAGCAGAGAATGAGAAGTCAGGGAGAGGAAGGACTTGGTCACAGCCAGGTGTAATGTATTTTCAAGAAGGTGATGCTGTCAGTCATGAAACATCTTGAGATGTCCTTATGACTGTCAGCAGTGCTGGGGCTTCAGGCTTTATGAATCTTTTATTGTTCAAACAAGTAAGGTGGGGTTTTTTTCACTGTCTTCAACAATTCTGTCTTTTCTGACATTGAAATGCAATTCGTTGTTACTCCTCATAGAACAATGTAGTTATTTACATGTATCACTGTGACATAATCAGTGAAATAATTTGAACATATCTTACACTGATTTTACTTTTTTTAGAGAGGCCATCGAGCCTTTTGTCCTGTGATTCTACATTTGGGGCATATTGTTTAGTGGCATTGTTTTACCTCACAGAGTGGATGGAAATTGCTGCTGTCAAAGGCAGCCTTATTCCTCTTCCTGATTTTTTGAGTCTATTTCTGCATTATTCCAATTATTTTTTTAAGAAAGTTTTCAGGGCATTTCAGAAGAAACTTGTTGAAAGTTTTTTACACTGGGGTTCATGACAACCTGTGCCCCCTCTGTTACACCTCTCTGAGTGTTGAAGTTAATAGCATGAAACAGTGTCAAAAGGCACTTACAGAGCATGTATTCATGTATCCTGTGTCTATGTGTTCCTCCTCTTTCCTGCCTTGTCAGCTGAGAAATTGGGCAAAACTTCATCACACTGTCAGGTGTTACATGGGAACAACCAAAAAAGCAGGGTGTCTCCTGTATGGAGGAGGAAGTGTTGCATTAGAAATCTGGAATGATTCTGTGGTAGGGCACTGAGTAACTGCAGAAATAAATCCCTTGCTACATATCCTAATCCCTGGAGTTTATTCATGGAGAAGGAGGAGGTGGAGATTGTTCCAGCACCTTTGTTAGCCTGGGTGGAGCCAGGCCAGGGAGAGCACAGGTACAGCATCCAGTGTGGGGCTTCCTGAGGTTGTTACTGTGCCCTGCTCTTCCTGTCCCCCACCTGGTGTGACAAAGGGAGCAGCTCATGGCAGTCACAGTGTCACTTTTGGGTTGTGAGAGGGAAATCTGCCATTTCATGGCAGGATGGCTCAGTCATCACCCCTGAGGAGATGGGAAGAAAATAAGATGGCAGCAATAACAGACATTGCCAGATATGAGGTTTTGGGGTGGAGGTTGTACAGACCAAACACATGGTCCTGAATTGTCACTATTCTGTGTGTGGTGATGGGAGATGAGGGCTAGGGTTAGGGAGCCTGGAAATGGACACCTTTCCTTCAGTGGACATGTGCAAATGATAACTATATACAAGTGATCAGTCACTATTACTAATTCAGTTACAAAACTTACTGAAAGAAGATAAAATGGTCCAGTTTACAATTAATCAGACTGTGATTAATTTCTTATTGTTGGTGCATTAATCATCATTAACAATGAGGTGTAGGACCAAATTTTATTTGGTTCTTGCCCTGCAGCCTTGTTGAAGCTTGTTTTCAAATTCTGAAGGAAAATGGGGTGGTTACAGAAAAGATGGAGATGATCCCTAAGTTTTCAGTTTAAGCACTGTTGATGTGTCAGTCCCTATAGCTGCTGCCTTCATGTCACACTTGTTCTCCACAGTGCTGTAGAGAGGGAGCTAAGACTTTAAATGTTGATATATCTTATTTTTTTTTAAATTCTGTAAGTGCCTTTGTTTCAGAAACGTTTTGTGAAATTAAAGATAGTAGAATATTGAATTTACTAGATAATCATTGTTGCTTTTGTTACATACTGTAACCTTGCTTTGTATGTTGGTTGTAGGTTAAACGAGTACTCAAACCAAATAGCATAAAGTCTATGCACCTTTGTAATAAATGCAGTGTTTGAAGTACATTCTGTCAACTTGGTTTTCTTAGCCTTATTTTGAGTATTATTTAGGGCTGTATCTGCAAAGGTACATTTTCCTTCATGTCTTTGAGAGCTTGTGATACTTGAGTGTATTTCAGGTCACCTTGTATCATGAGTATCACTTTTGGTGGTGGAGACTGAAACCTAACCAAAATGACAGGTCACAACATAAAGCAAGGACAATGTAAGCTCTTGAATGATCCTCTGATAGGCTACTGCCAAGCAAGTCCAAAAGGATTGATTCTAAGGAAGTCTGTAATTTCATTAAAAATATTTTCTCAACCTGTTTAGACTTGTATATTGAGTGTTGTGCCTCATTCATCAACTTGACCAATTCAACATGAGGTAAATGGTGCTTTCTACTCTGAAAATATTTTGGTAAAGTGTTTGTGTATTTTATAGTTTTGATAAAATGCTTTAGAAAGGTTTATTCACACCCCTGACTCACTTGAAATTTTTTTCTTTGAGCAGGTCAAGAATACTCTTTATATGACACCACACAGCAGTGAATTGGTGTTTAGTGTATCAGCATTATTACCTTGAATTGTCAGTTATGTTCTAATGTAGCATTTAATCGAAAAACAAAGGGAGAAACACAGAAATTAAAACCACTAACACCCAATCAATACCTCATAATAACTGGGTAGTTTTGTAGTGTTGCTTCTTGAATTTGTTGGAGTCTCAGCTGCAGGATGATAATGTGTTGGAGGTGCAATATAAATCATTTCACTTCTAGTTTTATTTCACATTTTCTCTTAGTAGACTGGGGGCAGCAGACAAAATGCATGCTTTTAGAAACCTAAATCTAGAGAATATACAGTTAATGTTTGGACTAGAAATGACACCAGGAAATTGCAGTTATTTGTGATTATTTTGTTGGCATTGCATTTTAGTTCATCTGTTTCTCTTTTCCCATGACTTTGAGCAGGTGCTCACCTGTGCAGTGTGGCTGAGTTTGAGAAGTGACAGGTGGAGAAATGCTCAGAGGAGAGCTGTGTGTCTTCCCCTCTCTCTGTTCAAAGGGCTGAGGAGCAGAACCTGGGTTTTGATTAAAACCTGCAGATTCCCTTAAGGAGCACATAGGGTTTCAAAGGTACCTTCACCCTTTATGGCAGCAAATATTAGTCATACAGGAGAGCAAACTGCTGAACTGAAAAGCTGAGATCCCAGGGTTAGGTGAGGAATATTGCTGGTTATGTTTTCATAAGGTTTCATCAACAGTTGTCTATGGTAGTGTGAATTTTTCCAGAACAAAACTTGGCATGCATTTAAAACTCAAGAGCTGGACACACAGGAGGGAAAAACTTCAATAATTATTCCCAAACAAGCAATTCTTGCCTGTTTAATTTTTTCCAGGTATGGAAACTCAGTATCGTATCTCAGTACTTGTAACAGCTCAGCAGATTTTGCTTTAGCTAGTGGTTTGGGTTTGTTTTTTCTCTCTCGTTATTATTTGACCTCATCTAGATGTTTTTGCAGCCTGTACTACAGGAACCTCGTCAAATTTACAGCTTTTCAGTGAGCCATATAGGAGGGGAAAAACATACTCGTTAAATCTGTCCAAGGTGAGAGAAAGGTGAAAAAAATTTTACTTTATCCTTTCAAGAGCTCAGGCTTCTGCACTGATGGAATTGTGTCCTCTGCAAAGGCAGCCCCCCCTCAGGACCAGTTAGCCATTCTAAAACAACCCCTGATATCCCATTTCCCTTACTGCAGTCAAAATAACTTTGAAATCAGCTGCTGCAGCCTTTTCATTCCAACACTTTTTGCTCCTGCAATGTAATTTGTGGTTCACTCTCTGATGGTACCTTATCCCTGGAATCAGGTAGGATGTCATTTACAGACTGCTGGACAGGGGTTGCAGCTCAGCTGTGCTGTAAAGAAGGTTTTTTAGCAAAACAAATTGTTCATTGTCAAAACACCAACCAACAACATGATTAATGCATAGATTAAAACATTACTGTTTGTGTTTCCTCTGTTATGACACTACAGGCATTGGTTATTACATTCTGACCAGGTATGAAAATAAAGTGGCTATTTCCTCTGGATGTTTTCAAAAGCAGGTTAGCCTTTGAGCAGCTATTGCATTGACAAGCTTTAGGACTAAGTTTTCAGATTAGTCCATGCTCAGTGCTGGCAATCAGCTTCAGGCTGTGAAAATGTTGGCCCTTGCTCTTAGAAGTACTTTGGTAAACTTCAGCCACAGTGGGTTTGTAGATCTCTGTAGAGATCACACATCACCTTTTCTTACCAGTCTGCTAAATTACAATCAATAATGTACATTTTGTTACAATTTACACTGGAAATGGAAGTTTGCATTTGCTGTTACGTTCAGAGGAGAAAACACAGAGTCTCTTGAGGCAGAACTGCTGCATTTGACCCTGTGTAACCATTTGGCCATTATATCCATAAATAATATTGCAGACTGTAACAAAAACATCCAGTGGTTGGATGACTTTGTTCTAATTGTTTAGCACAGGCTTTTAAGCAGTAGCTCGTGGGATTAATATGAATATACCCAGCTCAGGTCAGGGATGTTGTGTGCTACAGGACAAAGTATTTTGTATTTGCCATCTTCACATATGTCAGCTTGGTTTAAAAATACAGAATTTTGAGGCCTGACGTGACACAAAGCAGTTGTTTGGCTTCTCTGTGAAAGTTTGTTTCAGCTGCGGGCTGGATGAGCTGCAGAGGCCCTTTCCAACCTCACCAAGTCAATGATTCTGAAAGGTGTAGAATTGAGCAAGGTTTCATTGAGCAGGAAAAAGCAGCTCTGGTGAGCTCAGCTTTCAGCCAAGGGGAAACCCTGGTTGCCATCCCCAGGAGCAAGGAAGCAGATGGGTGGCTGCTGCTGAGGAATGTGATAATTGTGTGTGGAACATGCCTAGTGCTTTCCTTTGCTCAGTACTTCGTTGTTCTGTCTCGTGCCTATGCTTGATGCCAGAGTAAATTGCTCTTCTCAGTTAATATGGAGGCACAGCTTATCTGTAACACGGTGGGGAAATGCAGACTGGCTATGGAAAAGCTGCTATGGTGGGAATTCCTCAGGGAGTAAAGAACTGATGATAAGGGATTAGCAGCTGTTTCATACATGATTGGATCTTTTTAATCCTGAGAAAAATTCCAGGAGAAAGTAAAAAAGGAAGAATTGCTGAAGGTCAGCATAATCTTAAAATAATCCTGACTGTAGGTCAGGACTGTAGGCTGGTCACTGTAAATGACCACTGTCTTAAAAAATTCTGGTGCTTCTGTAAGTATATTTCTTTCTGCCTTTTCTCTTTAGGAGTACAGCATCATTGTTCCTTAGGAATATGAACAGACAATGCCTTCGATTCTAAAAGCTGTGGTTTAATTTCACAGTAACACCATGTTACTGTGATTCCTGCCAGCCAAAGTGTAGGGGTTTGGATCTGTACGGTGTATGGAGTGTGGGTTGAACTACTTTAAAGTCCAGAGTTGGGAGAAAACTCAATGAGAATGTAAATGTACATGTTTGGGTGTTGTCTGTTAGAGGGGGTGGATGGGAAGGGATGCAGAGCCAGGAGGGAACAGTTAGTTTTCCTACCAGTTTTTTCCACAGATAAGTCTTCTGTTTATATAAAGTTTAGCAATAATCCACTTCTCCCTTTTGCCAAGTTGCCATACACACACCCTTTAGATGAAGCCAAGTATTTTTTAAACAACTTTTTATAACTGGATTGCTTCAACAGTTGGGGATTCCTTATGGAACTGTTTTTTGTCCAAACCTTTAACAGTTCATTTGGTCTGTTCACCCAAATGGGTTCAATGTGTCTTATCTCTGTAAACTCAAATTGTTTAGAGAAATTAAGTGGTGAGAACGGTTGAAAAGTGATGGCAGATCACTGCCTTTTGGGATATCTGAGGTACTGTGACTGTCATATCTTTGTTAGGACAGCTCTAAGCTTGCCCCTCACAGCAGGCTCACAGCCAGATACTGCTTTACCACAGCTCCTGCTCATTGGGCTGTTTTTAAGGAGTTATCTTAATGTTTATTTTGGTTTTGAGGAAGGAAAGGGCTTTTCCATGCACTTTCCAGCTCTTTTCTCTAATCCCAAAAACCAGGAAATGTTTGGTGGTTGTTTTTCTTTTTTTTTTTTTTTTTTAGGATTGCTTTGTTTATTTGCTTATTTATTTATTTTACATGGACAAGTCAAATGTTTTTTGTCACACCAACATCTGCAGCTTGTCTTGTCCAGGGCCTGGTGACAGTTCCATGGTTGTGACCAGGCAAGCACACACAGACTTTTTCTGCTTTGTGCCTGTGCATCCTTCCTTGGTGCATTTCAGCAAGAACATGGCAGTTTTCCAGATGCTACAAGGGATTTGAAACCTGTTACTGAGAGGAGCAGTTGGCAGCTTGTGTTTCACAGAAACGACCTGGCCCTGCCTGGTGCAGCTACTGCTCAGAGAGGAGGAGGAGGAGGCTGAGCCCAGGCTGGCGCGAGGAAGGAGCTTTGGCCCTTGGGAGATGCTGGATTATTATCCCAGTTCTTCCTGCATAGGCATTTCTAGGAAAGTTCTCTTCCAATGCAAGAGCCAAGCCAGGAGCTTGCTGAGCACACTGAGTGGGTTCTGCTGCAGGGTGAGTCACAGCCCCTTTGGGCATGACCAGAGAACAGAATTCCTCCCAGTTTTCCAAAGTCTTCCTTCTCACTCTCGTACAGTCTCTTGTTCTCCTGGTTCCAGGCTTGAAAAGAGCTCTCCCATCTGAAAAAACACACCTGTGGGCTCATTTTAATAACACCACACTTCCCTTTTTAGGGTGTAAGGCTTAGTTGATGACCTGCAGGCCAGTGTGACAGTGAGTGAGGATCATGCACCCCGTTGGGGTGAGGCAGGAACTTTTCCTCCAACCTTTGGTGCTGAATCCTAGGAATGAGATGCTTCATCTTCTCTATGACCAAAACCCCAGCCATTCTGCATACATTTAAATAACCTTCTATTGCCAAGGATGCACTTCTCAACAGTACCATCCTACTCTTCTAAGGGGAATTATAAAATGTACGTTCTAGTATTTTTTGTTTTGGCATCTCAGTAATTACACTTCCAGCAGATTCATGAAATTGAGTGAGCTCAGGTGACCAATCCTCAGCAAGAAATTCAAAGCTTAAGTTATTTCTAGAAGGGTTTTTAAAATCACCATAAACTGTTTACTAATATCAACAATATGAAAATTCTGGAAGACACACAAGGAAGTGGTACAGTACAAAAGAAACAAGTGTGTTCAGAAGGCTTTCATATGAATGCAATGATGCCAAACACCTCAGCACATTCAGCATCATAAATTCAGCTGTAGTCACAGTAAAATAGAGACTAGAGAGAAATTCCCATTCCATTCACAGCTGTTTCATACAGGATGAAATTCATAACCAGAACCGGTCATAAGCCATTAAGTGAGTTTGCACTACCATTCATCAAAATTCCTTTGCTTTCAACTACACTTAGGTAGCACCGAAATAATTAAAACAAAGAAACCTTTGTTGTGCTGCGAGTGCAACCCAAGATTATCACTGAAAAGGATGATTCAAAGTTCACATTTGCATTGGCAATGATGACTCAGATGAGAAAGGACAGATATCTTTGCTGTTGGCTAGCTGGAGTCTGTTCCTTGGTCTTCTGGCTCAGGAGGATACAATTCATCCAAAATCAGCTCTGCAACAAAAAATAATATGTTTCAGAGAATGATTTTTTTTTTTTTCCTCCTGCTTCATACAGTATAATTATAGCTGGTATCTGCACTTTAGAACATACTGATGGTAGAAGACTACAGCAAATAAATTTTTTGAGGTTCCATGCAAACAGGTCTTTAGGTTTGTGTTTTGTCACACAAACTTCTCCCCCTCTTTTCTTTAATGCCTTTTTTAGGGATACCTTCCACTATCCCAGGTTGCTCCAAGCCCCATCTAGCCTGGCCTTGGACACTTCCAGGAATAGGGCAGCCACAGCTGCTCTGGGCAACCCTCACAGGGAAGAATTTATTCCTAATATCCAATCTAAACTGCTTCCAGAGGTCCGAGGAACAACCAGCTCTGGTACTTGTTAAAAAAGTGACAAAAGTGACATTTTTATTTCTGTACCATGGAAAAAAGCCAACATTTGACTGATTTTTACCTTCAGAGGCACTCAGTTTTTTAGTCTTTTTGAGAATGGCTCTTACACCTGGCATGGCTTGGTCATACTGATGGAGAACTTCCAAACAGTGTTCATGGAACAGTTTATCTTTCTGAGACAAGCTGTGCAAGAGTAAAACAGCATCCCGTAAAAACTGAATAACTCGTTCCTTATGTGCACACGAGCTGGTCTCAGATCTAATCTTCATCCACTGTCTGTGCAACATCACAATTAGTGCCTTAACCACCTGCAAAAGGAAAAACAGTGCCTTAATATACAAAGCAAAAATATAGGAGCAGAAAATTTATTTCAATATGAACTTTACTGCTTAATCTCTTCAAATTTCAGCATATTTTCTAGCAAGCCAAAGCAAGCTTCCTAGAAGGTGGCATCCTCTAAAGTACAGGACACTTCTGTTTCTCTACAGCAAAAAAATAAAAGAGGCAAAAAGTAATTTCAGCATTGAGTACTTGGAAGTTCTCAACAGGTTAAACCGGGGGAGTGTGGTGAACATACCTCGAGGTTGCACTGACAGTCTGTGCCAGGAAATAAAACTGCTGGTCTGGAGCACCACATGCAGCGTGTCAGGAGCCTGACTGACTGTTACAAACACAGGCTGTGTTAGAGTGAGGGCTAAGTTATGATAATGCATTGCTAGTTGCAAATATTCTTGGGGTATTTTTTCACTTCACAGGTGATGTCTTTTACCCTCAAAGTTGTACAAGTTTTTTTCCCTGTAACACTTTACAGACAGAATTTGCCTTGCATAGAAAACTTCTCAACTTTCTGATGAGTGGCCTTTAATTCACTGCATATACAAATAATGTGTTTACACTTACAGTGCAGGTGGGGGTAATAGAAAGGGTTCAATATCCTCCAAAATGAGGGAAGTAGAGCAAATAGAACCTCAAATAAGTCACTTCTGTCTGTACAAACAACACAAATTAGGTTTAAAAGCTACTCTTTCTATATATAACCATGACTGGTAAAGACCAAGTTAGCATTTCAATTGAATGCAAGGAATATAAATCTTAAATCACTATAGACTGCCTTTTAAATGTAATAAGCACAATCAAAATGAAACACAAATCTTGCTTCTTTTTAATCTTTTATTGCTCTAAAAGCAAAATAAAGCTTAGTGCTGAACATCTGCAGCCATCCAAGGATCTTCCTTGGTTTTTTCAGTGACTTAAAAGACTACTATGACCAATCCTCTCTTCAAGGATAGTTAAACATTCAGTTTCAAGCAGGTCCTTTCAAAAATCATTGTAATCCCTTACTGCAAGCCCATACTTGCAGTTTTGTATTTCAGCTAGAGATTGAACTTGTTTTCAGACAATGTGTGCAGTCATGCTCCTCCCACTCCCCCAGCTGGAAGGAGAAGGAAAGAGCACATGGACACAGCCGTGGTTACCTCTTGCTCCAGCTGAAGCCAAAGCATTTCAGATGCTGATTTATCTGGCCTGGATGTTATGTACATGTAGAGTGCAAGGAGAAGGCAAGTATCTGAAACAGAGAGAACGTTGTTCTTTTTCCAACCAGCCACTTGTTCATGACAAAAATTAATTCTATCCTAGGACTCATGTTACAGGCTCAGCTTCTTGTTTTACTTCCCACATCTTCAGCAGTGCTGAGTAAATTGGTATCCCTAAGCTTAATATTTGCCTTTGTGGTAATCCTGTCCTGGTTCATTCATAAGGAACTGAACAGAGATCATTTGTCATGCAGAGTACTGGTATCTCTAAACAGTGCCATGAACACAGGTAAATTTATCTTCAAAACTCCTCAAAAGCCCCCTTTTCCTCATCAATCTTAAATATACAATCTAAAAAGTGGTTTTAAAATGGCTATCAAAAGCACTGCTTGTAGACAAATACCACAAATACTCTCCAAATCATAAGCAGAAAACAAGTTTTCAGTTACGCAGGCTTTTTGCCCTCTGGGATTTCAGCACCTTGGAGCAAGGCCTGTTTGCATTACTTTTAGTCATGGTAACAGTTCCCTGTGTCCTTGAGTTTTTTACCTGAATGAGAACAGAGTTGAGCAACCAACAGGTGGTGCTGAGCAAGAGCACACAGGAGTCTCACAGTCAGCAGCACAGCAGGCAGAGGAGTCTCGGGGTGCAGGCAGCGCTGCAGTATCTGGCTACTCAGTAAGTGCTGGAAACTTCAAAACAAAACTTAGTTAGAAAAGAGAAGTGCAGTTACAAGTTGAAAATATTTTTTGCAGACAGCATCAAAATTTGTGCCTTTCTAGATGTTCAGAACATACCCAATCTTAAATTATCTATCATAAATACAAAGCATGCTGGAAAACATTGTTACTTTTGCAGTCACTGTAGTTCACAGTGGCAGTTTTACCTGCCAGAATGAGATCCTGTGCTTTCCTTCCTTGTGCACCTCCCAGCAATCACCAAAACCCCAAAATGAATGTTATAAAGCTTCACTTTCAATGAGGCAACAACATCTGCTTCATATGAACATCATCAGCAAACCTTGTTATTGATCAGGGATGATTATTACACTCATTAACAGAAAAGGCAGTAGAAAGATCCTCAGCTGCTTCTCAAATGTGATCTGAGATGTGATTTCTCTCATACATAGCATAACTTCTACTGGAAGCTGCCCAGATGAGTTTCAACAGAGAATGAAAACAGCCAAACAGCACTCTGAGATAATTTTAAAACTTTTACTGACTTACTTTATTAACAAGTCCATAGTTGAATTTTCAGCTAATTTCACCAAAACCTTTAGGCTTTGGCTCAGGATATTGTCGGCCTGGGAGCCCCTTGCAGCAGAGAAAGCTAAAATCTGAAGCAGCTTTTTAAACAAAGGATGTTGAGCTCCATCAGTATTGGGAGGATCCTGTGGAGCAGGCAGCCCTCCTTGTGTCCTGCTCTCTTCTTTATTGTCACACTGATTGTCACACAATCCATTTTTGTCCATGTTGGAAACCTGTTCGTCTCCAGCAGCAGAACTTTTTTCCATTTCAGCAGACAGCAATGTGTGGACAACATCCCAGCTGTAGAACACTAAATAATAAAGGATCCCCAGTGATACAAGAGTAGTTTCTTCAAGGGATGACCTGAAGTCCTCCTTGCTCGACACCGTGCTCGTGCTGGCTCTGGAAGCAGCAGCTGGGTGTGTCCCACAAGCTCCATTCCCTGCCGTGTCCCCGAGCTGCTCTGCTTGGCAGAAGGCACCAATGTGGTGCTCCACCAAGGGCAGGAGATGGACAGCACCTTGGATCCTGCTCTGTGTGAGGGGCAAGAGCCTTCCCTGGCCTTCTGCTGGGCTTCCCTCAGATAATCCTTCATCTAGAGCAATCAAGTTCAGTCCTGTTATTGCCAGTTTTTGAGCTTCTTGCAGGGATACAAGAGGAGCAATTCCTTCTTGAGTTGTCCTGCTGCTGGGGAGTTGTGTGGGCTTCCTGTCCAAATAAAAGTAAAAGGGAAATGCTTCACAAGAAAAGGCAGAGAACAGAGTTGAAATCTGAGTTATCCATATTATGAATTGGATAATAGAAAGGCCAGAGTACTAGGAGATGTCTGTTTCCAAAATAGGAAAAACATCATCCTATTCCTTGATGCCTGCATGGAAGAGACATTTCAAAGCATTCTAGGTTTTATTAATAATAAAAAAGGAAAGGTATGTCAGAACCTAGAGTCTAATTCTGTAAAGTGAAAAACTATAATTCATATCCAATCTTCATATTTAAAATGCTTTACCAGGAAATATAAATATATCTTGGAAAGTTGCACACAAACTGTACATTACAAATTGAACAGAGTTTCTGTTTTGAAGATATAAAACCAACTTTTAATCACATCTTCAGCATTTTCTTCCCCCTTAAGTCACGATCATGTTTCTGTGCTTCCCACATTGCAATGCAAGCTGCTGAACTCCCAGGTTTAGTTCTGTGCCTTCCCCTAACAGATAATTAACCTAATTTATTTTTAGTGATGTTCCAGTGTTTAGTATCTGTGATAATCAAAGATGCAGAATGATGTTCCAAATTTTGCCCTAAATGGCCTAAGCAGAGCATGATTTACCACAGGGAATGAGCTGTCCTGCATGACCAAGTGTTTCCTACTACAGAGAATGCCACAGTTTAACAAAGAAAACAAAACTTACGTATCCAAAGAGTTGGGTGGCAACACAGCTCCAGGTAGAAGCTCAGAGTTGCTGCTAAGAAGGTGGCAGAGTCCTAGAAATGACCCAGGGACAATGGGCTGCTTCATCAGTGCATTCAGCAAGATAGAACCTGGAAGGATGCAGAATTTTCTTTGGAGGAGATTTGCCATCATCAACAACAAAAAAATCAGTATTTCAGAAGATCACCCTTATTTAGAGGGCTCGCAACCTCAAAATCTTTTTTTCATTATGAATCTTCTTTCTTAACAGGAAGATGATTTTCAGAAAAATGAATTTAAGGTATTTAAATAGAAACCAAGTTATAGTACGAGGTATTTTAATAGGCTGTGATCACATATCCCAGCTGTTCTGGTGACTTGCCCTCCATTTTCCAATCCAGACCTTGAAATTATGTGATGCAATTCCACTGCCAACTGTAACTAAGATAGTACCCTAAAGAATTCTTGGAGCTGACTGTTTAAAATGCTTTATAGTGTTGTTGTGGTGTTTTTTTTTAAAGATACCTTTTCCCTGGTTTTATTTCTGCATTATGAGAATAATATTACCTTGTGTCTTTCGTTTGGGGACAGAGTTGTAGGAACTGTTTTTTCCTGTTGCTTTGTGCTGCTTCAGGGATGAGACTTCAGGATGAGTTATCTTCCTGTCTGAAACAAACAGAGACTGGGAGAACACAGATCTGCACCCATCCTGTACACACAGCCACAGTGTTAGATAATATTTTAATCATCTCTATATGTCACAATTACCAAGCAAACCAAGGCCAAAAGCCTTGCAGAGTTCAGAAAAAAAAGTAAACAAATGTATTTTTTCAAACGAATTGGCATATTGAGTGTTGTTACCATAACAAACAATAGCAATACCAATGCTTTCAGGCTACTGAATTTTTCTTTTTGCTGGAGTTCCCACTGCCCATATTTTTAGAATGAACAGTGTAACTGACAGCAACATCTCAGATTTTTCATGACTCTTCAAGTAAAGATTAGTTGGTGATATCCACATTTCTTCTATTTATTATTTCCCATTGCTATAAAAAACCTCTAATTTTGTTTCATATTAGAGCAATCTTCAATTATATGCATATATTAATTTCCTAAGCTCTACTCAATGAATTTCAAGATACAATTTTGTGAGAATTACTACCCTACATATAAAAGAGGAAATGAGTATATTGTTTCGGTTGCTTCTTTCAAGGTGGCTAAGTATGTACCCTTTAAAATCCAATCCCCAAAATGCTAGAACAAGAATACAAAACATGCATTAGCTAACTAGCAGGCCAAGAAATAAGCAAATTATTTCCTATTCTTTATGCAATGAGAAAAGACAGATGAACAATTTGGATGTTTTAGTTCATCACGCAATAAAGTTTTTTATTGCAGCCACTGGCCACTTCATCATTGACATCCTGGCATCTGGTACTAAAGTATGAATTAAAACGATCTTCATGCAAATTTCAGTCATGGCTTTTTAACTCCAGTTGGTATAAAGTGGAAAAAAATTAAGCAAGACCAAAATAAAACAAATAACTGTGAACTGACAGTTTTTTTATGACTGTTCAGTCACAAAATCCTTCTCAAGTGTAAAATGTTCACATGCAGCTAAAAATGTTGCAAGCTGTACATGGGTTTACCTTCTTTGATTGAAATAGTCAGGGCCATCAAATTTCCTGAAGAACACGAGGGCTTAGTGGACATTTCAGCATTGAAGGATTCCTTTGTAGGAAAAGATCTTCTTCCTGGCTGTGGAGAACATCCTTCTGATTTCACTTGTACCACAAGATTCTTTTTAGGGCTAAGATAAAAAGACAAATCAGTATTTCTTTTGTAATTATTTTACTAAACAATCTATTTTCTTTGCACTGATGTTTTAAAGGTACTTCACTATGAACTTCTATCACAGATACCAGGAAGGCTCTTTTTTGAGCAAATTCCATAGATGTCATCAGACTTTACTGTTGTATTTTTTAAAGACAACAGAGCTAGGAGTTACATGAAGAAAGAAAACCTCTTCAATAGTTCAAACACATGTACTGCAAAAATGAACACAAATTCCTTTTCCAACCCCCTACCTTGTTGTTGGAACTGCCTGAGAAAGTTGTTTATTTCTTTCACAGTTTTGAAGTCGTGTTCTTAATTCATTCATTTCTGCATCCTTGAACTGCAGCTCAGAGTGCAAGGACTGTAACTGAAAGAGGAATTCAGGATAATTTTACCAGTTTAGAGGTGGTGCAACTGCAGAGCAACTGAGTTACCATGAGAGCTCCAGATCAGGATCTACTTACTGTGAACTCGGCACAAGATCTCCATTTTTAGGAACCTTAGCCCTGAAAATGTCTTACAAAGTCTGAGAACCAAGTGCCAGGAGTTCAGGCAAGAAGCCTTTGTGAGTGGCTAAGACAAAGCAAAGCAGAGCACGACTCCAGTGAGGCTGCAACTGCAGAGCCAAGTGGACAAAACCAGCCACTGCCCTCTTCAGGGCCTGCACAGAGATGACTGCAGCAGGAATAGCAATCTGGTCAGAGCCACAAAGCATGTTCTGTCACATTTCCCCACTCTAAAATACATTCCAATAGCAATGTCCTCGGGATGGCTTCACAAAAGCAGTAAGTAAATGAAAACTTCTACCACCTGAATTTCACTCCTTTATTTTGGCAGGGGAAAACCCTCAACAAGTTCTTAAAAATGTTTTCTTCTAGGTAAGAAAATAAAAGCAAGCACTGTGGAAATTTTACACAAATTTCACACAAATGTCCCTCCTTTGACTAAATGGCCTGTGACAGCATTAAGTCATAAATCAGCTTCTGCATGTGATCTGCATGTAACTGACATTCACAAACCTTTCTGGAGAACTCTTTTTCTTTCTCACTTAAAATCTGAATTTTCTGCTGTTCCAGTAGCAGGTATGATCTTTTCTGTTCCTCCATAGCAGACTCCATCTTCTGCATTGAGTCACGCAGAATTTTAATTTCTCCATTTTTAGTGAGAATTTCATCCTGCATTTCTTTCAGCTGCAAACAGAGGAATTCCATTAAAGGATGGATATAGCCAAAAGTACGTATTTGCATAAGTATGTTGTTGAAAATTAGGTGTATTTGTAATTTCTAGGGAGAAAAATGCTCCTGGTAACCCAGCTCAAAAATTCTACACATGTTGCCTCTAATCTTTCTCTGATTAAATCAGCCCCAGCTACTGTTTTCTTTAGCATAATTAAATATGACAAGACCATCCTTCACTTTCCCCTTCTCTGCAATTATGTTTTGGGGGATTTTTTTTAAAAAAATGTTCGTCATACACATCAATAATTTATTAATTATTTGGATCATAACAGTGATAATTTAATTACACTACTACATCCATCAGGACAACCAACAAACACTCTAAGACAAGGTACCATCCCCAGACATTATCTTCACGACATTGAGTCTCTAATACTTCCTGAGCAGCCACCACCACTCAGAGACAAGACTTTGGAGGGATAATAAAGTAGTTACTCAGAAAAGCAAGAAGAGAAGATCAGAAAGACTCTTCTCTACAACTGTAAAATTATGATTTAATATGGTATTTAATATGGAGATTGCCTGATAAAGGTGGATATAATAGAGCTGGGAAAGATACAGAGAATGGAGAAAGGGAAACAGAGTATCTTTCCATAAAGGATCAGCAGAAGGTAAAGTAACAAAGTCACTTAAATGTCAGGTAACTTTTTCAAATCTTTTAAGTTGAACAAAACAACTCTGGCTGATAGGGCAGAGAAATTACTTGATAGGGAACAAATCAAACTGAAAAATTAGCATTTGCTAATCTGAGATGAATAAAATAGTGCTCTCACTCTTTAGTATTGCTAGAGCTGTTTCTAATAGAATGATTTTAACATAGCCCTAGATTACAAAGATTATTGATCACTTTGATTAGAATTAAATGCTTGGGACCGGATTTACCCCACCTTTCAATTATTCCTATCAAAAAATGTGATATTTAGAGGAGAGGGGAGCATATTGCCAACCTTCTGTTTGACTTCCTCATGCTGTGTCTGCAGCACTTCAAACTGGAATGCATCTCTCATCAGACCCTCTTCTGTTCTGCTTCCTGCTGCAGGAAAAAGGCAAAATCTGAAGCACAGATGATGAATGTACATCACTGGTGACTCAACACCAAGGTTTTATTTTTCATTGCATACATCTGAATATCTTAGTATTTTACTGTCATTACAAGCAGGTAAACTGCCTCATCTAACCACCTCAGGAACTTTGCTAGTGCTTGTGCATCAATTCTTATAACAGAAGGACCCCTGCACCTTCAAATTTCTAATCACAGAATGGTTTGGACTGAAAGGAACCTTAAGGATCATCTCATCTTAAACCATCAAGATGACCCACAGCAAAAAACAAGCATTTAACCTGAAGATTCATTCTCTGAGATAACTTTAGTTAATGCACAAACAAGGGTTCACTGAAAACTTGTTCACCTGGTGAGATGACTCATGTCAGGGTTGCTAAAACAGACTTAGATTATTCAAGCTCTTAAGCTTCATTATGAAGAAACCCCTGCTTTTGTTTCTTTCAAAATACACCTGGAAGTTAAGCTATGCATTTATTAGTAGAAATTAGGAGGGGAAAAAAAATCTGAAAGCCAATATGCTACCAGAATATGATACCCAAAGCATTTTGAAAGTTTAGGAAACTCAGTTTTTTTTATTTGGCAGGTTTAACACGCAGCACCCTTGTCCCAGGCTGGCTCCTGGTGCCGTGAGATCAATGCAGTGTGCCTGCCTGCTGGGACTGTTACTCTCGTTATTCCTCTGGATCCCAACCATCCCTCTCACAACGGGGGTCATGGGGTGCTGGTGGCCAGGGAACAGGCAGCAGCAATCCCCGTAAGAGAACTTACAAGAGAGATGGAACAAATCTATTTACAAGAGCCTGTAGTGACGGGGTAAGAGGGAGGGGCTTCACGCTGATGGAGATTTAGGTTAGATATTAGGAAGAAATTCTTCCCTGTGAGGAAGGTGAGGCCCTGGCACAGAATGCCCAGAGAAGCTGTGGCTGCCCCATCCCTGGAAGTGTCTAAAGCCAGGTTGGACACTGGGGCTTGGAGCAGCCTGGGACAATGGAAGGTGTCCCTGCCCATGGCAGGGAGTGACACTCGATGGGCTCTAAGGTCCTTGCAATCCAGGCCATTCTGTGGCTCCTAAAGGGACATCAAACCCTTTCGCAGCAGCGGGGCAGTGAGGGACAGCCGCCGGGACACACCGACCTTGCCGCCCGGCCCGGGGCAGCTCCGGAGCTCCCCACGCGTGTCCCGCGGGTGGATCCTGCGACAGCGCCTGCGAGGCCAGGATGTCGATCTGCTCCAGGTCATCCGCCGTGAAGTCATCACTATCCCCGAACGGGTCCACGATCCCGATCACGGCGCTCTTGGGGCGCTTGTGCGGAGGAAGGCCGCCCCGGAGCGCGGGCGGGGCGGCCGCAGCCCCGCTGTCCCCGCAGAGCGCGGGGCCGCTCCGCTTGCGCGGCACGGGCAGCGCCGCCATGCCGGCCCGGGACCCGCGGGGCCCACACGCCGCCGGGCCGCGCTGGCCACGCCCCCCCCGCGCGCGCCGCGCCGTCCGCCAATCACCGCCAGGCAGCGGTCCCAGTACAGCCAATGGGATGGCGGCGGCTTCAGAGCCGGCTGTCAGCGATTGGCCGCGGGCAGCCGGCACGCAAGCGCCTCGCTGATTGGGAGAGAGGGAGGCGGGAAGGCTTCTCCCCTCAGCGATGTGAGGGGAAGGCGGAGACGTCAGACCTCGAGCGATGACGTCAGACTTGAGAGGTGATGTGGTGAGGGTTGTCCCCCTGATGTCACACCTGGCTTCATCCCAGGCACGATGGCGTCACACAGCAGCTGGAGGGGGCTGTGACCGTCCTGTGCCGCTGTGGCACTGCCGGCCGCAGGCACTAAACTGGGGCCTCTAAAAGGGTCAGGGAAGAGCAGTGTTTGCAAAAGTCCTGTGCTAAACCCCCACCGTTAAATTACTGGCAGTAACTTGCTTCTGTAATCGTATTTTGCCTGTTTTTAGTGCTGGACTGAAAAATAGAGTTTCCAGCTCTGTATAACTCAGGTGGGTGTGAGGTCACAGCTATGTTTATAAACCTTTTAAGAGGACGCTAGACCATAGTCTTGCAGCACATTTTAAAAACAGGGTCACTAATTATTTTTATTTCTATCAATCAGTTTACAAATCCCTTGACGGTCTTTTAAGTGAAAACCACCGTGTTAGTGTGACATATTTCCAATTCTGTCCGAGAATTCTGATTTCTCTTGTTCATTTCGCTATTTCCCATTACATGCAGGAAAATCAGATTATCACTAGAGGGTCATTTTCTTTACCCACGCACTGCATGAGCAGCCTGTGAGGAGCCAGCAAAGCCCAAAGAAAGCCCTGAGGGTCTTTGTTCCCTGCTGTGCTCAAGTAGCAGAAGGTGGTCCCGATGCAGCCAGCAGGTGGGAACAGCTCAGGTGCACAGAAAAGGGGCACTCTCCAAGGGAAGCTGCTCTTGTGTCACTTTAGTTTTGATGTGCTGCTTGAAGATTTTGTTTTTGTTTCTTCAAGAAGTCGTTTCATCAATTATGGGCCAAACTGGGGGAATTGTGGATGGGTTTGATGCTCAAAACAGTGAATGTACTATTATTTATGCTTGGAATTATTGCTTTTCTCCCTCTAGTGGGAAAGGTAACGTGACATTTGTCTTTGTAGTTTAGCCATGAACAAAAGTTACTTCTTGCTTTTAAGAATGGTTTTATTTCTTTATGTTTAAAGAGAGATGTTTTGAGGAGATGGAGTAAAACCAAAACTGATTATTTAGTTTAAAACCTCTCCTGGCAATTTCTAGTGCTCAGTTTCCACTGCTTATGTTTGTAGACATATGTAAGAGAGCTTAATTTAAGTAACTTAAAAGGAACTTGATTCAGACATTACTTGTTCTTAATTCTGGATTTTGTTTTTTTGTTAGTTTTTATTGTTTGATGGTTTGGGACTTTTTTTTTTTTTTTGGTTGCCTAATAAATTAATAGGATTGTGCTAGTATTACTATTTTTTGTTATTGCTGCTTTTAAATAACAGTATACTGTTTGAGTGATATACCTTCAGTTTTACTTTCTCGTCTTCTAGGTAAAGCTGAGGAAAAATAGAATGGTAGAACACTTGCACAAACTTTATTTTTAACAAGATAAACCAAGATACTGACTCTGTTTTCCTCTATTCCGGGTGTTGCTGCTAAAGAGAAAATGACTTGAAGAGGATCAGAATAACAGCAATGTAAGTCTGAGATGTAGAATTAGCTTTAAATACAGCAGCCTGTGGAACGATTTTTGGGCAGGGGGATGAAAGTCAAACAGTTACATATCTGCTTATTTCTCATCTTTCTGTGTCTTGCTTGAGTCTTAAATATGAAACTCCCTGAGGAGAACACAAGAAATCAAAGTGTTCTTGTCTTTAGCACTAGACATCTTCGTGTCATCTGAGAACTGACATTTTTTGATTGTTATAGCCAGAATTTCGTGTTTCATTTGAACATTCCACTTAGGACTAATAGATCCAGATGTCAGACCTCAATCCACGTGAGAAGTTTTAGCATTACCATTTGACTCTTGCAATACTTTTAGCTATTTTTCATTTGCTTTCTACTCTCGCTATTACTTTCGTTTCTCACATGCAAGTTAAAACCAGGGCCCTTCATGTCTGTCTTGGCTTTAGCAGTATCTTATCTTACTTCAGAGTAAAATCACTAGGATAACTGGGAATTTGTGCATTTTTTCATTTGGGCGCACACGCTGTGGAAAGGACGAGCTCTTTAGCATAATTAAGCATTAAGTTTAATAACTTCTGTGTGGATTTGGACAGTTATTAGTGTTGCTAATGGTATGTTCATTCTAAATGCTGGCAAGAATTTTATAACTCCAATGCAAGTGTTGTTTCTTTGTCCCTTATTTCAATGAAGCTGGACTTGAATGTGTTTTGTGTTTTGGTTCTCAAAACATTGAATAAATCAAAACTGAAGTAAGTGGATGACTGAATCAGAGTCATCAGTGATCAGAGGATGACTGAAGCAGAGATTAATTTTTTAGGTTAATTCCTAAAGTATGAGGTACTTAAATGCAAACGAGACCTCAGTGAAAATTTGTTCAACAAAATAGCATCTCGATCCAGACCTGAGAGCTGGTTAGGAGAGGAATGGTCTGGGTTTTGGGTACACGTCAAGAATTTCGTCACTTGCTGGTAGAGGGAAAGGAAATCCCACACTCCGAGAATGACCTGGGAGCCGTATGTCTGAGACGGAGGGGGGTTTTTAGTCTGTGCTTGTCCTGGGTCCTGAGAAACGAGAGGGAAAAGGGAACAAAGCAGGATAACAGCGATGTCTGCGTGGAACACCGCCGGCCGTGGAGCTGCCGGTGGGACGAGAGGAGCCGCTGGGCTGGAGGCGGGGGCAGAGCGCGGCCGCGCGTCTCGCCCGTTATTTCCGTTGGCTCAAGGAGCGCCGGGCGGGCGGAGCTCCGGGGCCGCGTCCAGCCGGGGCCACCGAGCGCTGCCCGGCGGGGCGGGCAGTCCGCACAGCTGTGTGTGCGCTGTGTGTGCCGAGCTGTCCGCGCCGGTCCCGCCCCACCGGCGGCACAACAAACCCGCCCCGTCCCGCCCGCGCCGTGCGGCTGTTGCGCGGAGCCGCCCCCGGCCGCGGGGGCCGGGCCGGGCCGGGCGGCGCTGGCAGCGGGGCCGGGGCGGACATGAGGACCGAGATCTCCACGGCGGCCGCGTTCGTGACCCGCCTCCTGCGGGCCGCCGGCGGGGTCGGCGAGGAGCAGCTGCGGTGTTTCCGCGAGTGCCTGCAGGAGGCGATGCGCGGTGAGTGCCGGGGGGGGGACATCCCTCCCCTCCATCCCTTCGCTCCATCCCCCGCATCCCTCCCGCATCCCGCGGGGTCCGGCGGAGCGCAGCCCCGCGCAGAAGCTCCTCTTTGTTCCCCTCCGCAGAGCACTACAAGCACCACTGGTTCCCCCTGGTGCCCTCCAAGGGCTCCGGCTACCGCTGCATCAGGATCAACCATAAGATGGACCCCTTGATAGGAAAGGCGGCGGGGATGATCGGACTGAGCCACGAGAGGCTCTTCCAGCTCTTACCCAGCGAATTAACGCTGTGGGTCGACCCCTTCGAAGTGTCCTATCGCATAGGTGAGGATGGGTCTATCTGTGTGCTGTACGAAAGCCCCCAGCCTGGGGGAAAGGCGGCCAAACAGCTGGAGAGCAGGACCAGCTGCAAGGAGGAGTGGAGAATTGGCAGATCCAGCCCTTCCAAGAGTTACAACATGATGACGGTCTCTAGTTAAAAACAACTCTTCCCTGTACGATGTTGTATGTATCCCAACCTCGTGGCAAAGTTAGATGTAACTGAGCTCTTTTGTTTTTAGTAATTTTCTTCACCCTTTAGTCATTAAAGTCGTGGTAGTACCGCCAAGTTCTTCGTGGCCAAGGGCTAAATGTATAAAGCAGTTCTTTACACTGCATGTTCCTTTCTGGGTTGTGTCCTGTAAATGCACTGTACAGTCGGTGGATTGTTTTACACATTTATATTTTCGAGAAAATTTTGCCTATTTGTAATAAAAAGCAATATTGTAACACTCTTTATGATGGGTTTTAGTCAAAATTAGTACTTGCTAAAAAAAAAAAATCTGCAATTTGCAGAGCAATAACACAAAAGGGGGAGGGGTTGGGAAACATCTGACAAACTGAACATAAATATTTCCAGTGATTTGTCTGCACAGACTTCTCTCAGGGTCATTCAAGTCTGACTGTGAGGCACAAATCACAGAAATAACTCTTTATTTTTCCTTTTTCAAAGCATGCATTTATTTGAGGACTAGGTTCCATCACACCCAAATATTTTGGCAAAAAGAAGTGGGGAATTAGTTGTCTTGTTATTTCTAGATATGGGAGTAGAAAAATAAATACTCGCTTAAAATGCTTCTGATTTGTTTTGTTTTTTTTTTTTTTGTTTTGTCCCCCCCAGGCTTTTAACATTGCTCCCAAAGCTTATTCTATCCATTTGTAATAATTGCAGAAAGCTTTGTAGTTAAAGAGGTGTAGCAGTGAACATCAATCTTTATTTCAGATCACAACAAACCACTCAGTTTTGGGAAAGCTTGCTGGCTGCCTGTCTTCAGCTGAATAATCTGTGTAGAGCTAGGTGGGTTTTTTTGGTTCTGAACGGAAGCAAAGGTTCTCTTCTAACATTTGGTCTATTGCAAAAAAAAAAAAAGAATTTATAAGGAAATCGTGTTTGGGTTTCAAACTGCAACTTTACACCATGTAGGCAGCTCGAATGAAAATGATCATCAATGCTGCAACTACCTTGGCTTTTCTGGAAGGTAAATCCTTCTGTTTCTGGCTTTGAGTTCCATATTTTTGTCAGGGTCTCTAATACCAGTTGGGTACAAGTTTTAGTGAAGGTATCAAATACAGCAGATTGGATGTAATAACAAAACTTTGTGTTGCTGGTTTATGTGGATACTCTCAGCGTTGATATCTCAGTAAAGGATTTAATTTGCAGATACTGTGATTCCTATTCTAAGAAGCACTGGTTTCTAATTCAGCTCTAGAAGGCTGCCTGGCATTGCTGATTTCTGTAGCCTGGTGTTACAGCACGGTTGAACACTTGATGAAAGGGAGCTTTGTCTGCTGTGAGTATGTCAGCAAAAAAACCCCTCCTTGTGCTATGTCAATAACATGGTAGAACATACAGTGAGGGAAGGGGCAAGTCTGGGCAAACTGCAAAGGGCAGAACTCCAGCTCACAAAGAGGTTTTTCCTTTGTTTGCCTTGAAAAAGCTGTGGCTTGCTTCTTGCTCTTTGCTTATTATCTCGCAGTCAGGCTTTTCTAGTGGTGTTTGTTTAATCTGGAGGAAATGCACAGTGCAATTTTCTTAGTAATTAAAACTCTCTAAAAATTGATTGTGTGTTTCTAGTCTATCACTCCAATAAATTTCTGGGTTAGTTTAACAAATGGGTGTTAAAGGTCTGGGGGCAAATTGCCTTTTTATTAGATAAGATTGGAAATCGGTTCTCATGACATTGTTTTATCCTCTTGAGGAGGCAGTAATACTTTCCTTTTCCTCTCTGATGAATATTCAGTGTGGGTAATCCTATTTCCTTGGGACCTCTAAGGGATGTATTTGACACATTTGTCAGTAATTGAACAGAATAATTTTAAATCTGCTAAGGGTGAGGTGCCTTCTTTGATTAAACTTCATTTGAAAGGTAATTTGCCTTGCTGTACATTATATTAACAGCCCACTGGAAAACATAGGTATGAAGTCTTCAGCTTAACAGGAGGCTTTCCATAGTAGGAAACTCTTGAAGTGGAACTGAAGATGACTTAGGTGACAGGATATGATTTCCAGCTGCTGGGTGTGGTTTGAGATGAAGGAGGGTACAGCAGGTTTTTCAGATGTTCTGTTCTTGCCTCGTGTCTGTCCATGTAAGAGCAGAGAAGAGCCTGGGTTAATCCAGCCATTATGGATTCTGCTGCTTTTATTAATCCTCTCCTAAGCCATGGGACGTTTCAGATGTTATATAATACCACATCTCCAGTATCCTATGCTCTCTGTAGGTTTGATGTCTATCATTGAAAGGGCAATTTAATGCAAGTTAAGTTTCATATATTTAAGCTACTTGCATCGAGTTGAAGTCACTCTGCAGACAAACAGGTGGGGGTCACCAGGGGAGTTGAACAAAACCCACTGAAGCAAAGAAAACACTTGAGCTGCAAGTAAATACACTGTGATATCTGTGCCATCTAGAACTGCATTCCATTGCTTTAAAAAATGTCAAAGATGTACTGAAAGCACAAAAGCTGTTCTGAGGGAACAGAGTGCTTGGTAGTAAGCCGGGGAAGCAGTTATCTGGAGGAGGTAAAGAAAATTAACTTTGTGTTTTCCCTGGAAGGTGGTAAGTTTTGTGTTCCACTGGTGCAACAAACAAGGCAAAATCTTAACATCTTTAAAATGACGTACTTGTCACACAAGACTGACCACATCTCATCAGTCATGACTCAGAACAGACTGGTTTGGGTTCTGCAGGAAAGATTATTGCATGCTGGCCTCCTCGAAGGAGTAAAAATCCGTGGAGAAGTCAATACACTCCTGTTTGGATGAGGATGGGTTAACTGTTGGATAACTGAAGCTGAAATAGAGGGAAAAAAACCATGCATTTTCCTGTTTCTCCAAAATATTTTCTTGCTGCCAAATTAATTACATAACATTTGTGTGAGTGGTAAAATCCACCTGAGACAGAAGGTCCTGCTAGTTTATTACAGCCTGACCACTTTTGTACTGCAACTATTGTGTATCACCCTGCTGACTTCTTAGTTGGACCTAAGAGCACAGAAATGAATGGTTTTGCTATGAGAACTTCAAGAGATAAGGGGATTGTCTGTACTTGTTTCAGATTCTATTACCTTTAGAGCTAGGTAAATTAAAATACAAAATTTGGGATGTTTATTTTCTAACCATCGGTGTCCTTATTTTCTCATCCTCAAGATGAAAGGCTTTTCAGTGTGTAGCACTTTATACTGCCATCAAATTAAGCCTGTTTTTCATATTTAAAGGATTAAAAAGATTAAGCTTTTCAAGTTTGAGCATAAATAATTTTCTTTTAACTGGGATTTGCATACATGCTTTCTGCCAATACTTGGTCTGGTTTTAATATGTGCCTGAGAATGTGTTCCCAGGGAATGAGTGCAGTGAACCAACTGATCAGGATCGCTCTGTTCCCACCACGATTTGCAGTTCACCAGCACTGACAGTTCTGTGAGCTTCACTTAACTGAGAACAATGCAGAAGTCCTGACAGAATTGCTACAACCATGAGGTCTTTCACTTAACTAATTTTTAATTCCTGTAACATGTTCTTCACAGTTATTTTGTCTAGAATGCCATATGTTTTAGGTGAAGTGCCTAGTAAAAAACTAAATAATGAGTTTGTGATTGCTCACACAAAGGACAATTCCCAGGTTTTTACTGTAGAGCTGTTGTGCCTGCAGTATGATGTTTGGGATGAGGCAAGGGCCCAGTCATGCAAACTGGGCTTAAATTGATCATTTCAATGATCAGTTAGTGATTTGGCCTCAAATGACTGATATTACTTGTGTAACTCCCAGAATTTTCTGCTACACGAATGGAAAAGTGAACAAACCCACAAGAAACTGAGGAAAAAGGTAGGTTCTACCAGAAAATACTTCATGATCTGTCTGGACCCTGGTTGCTGCAGCACGTCTGAGTGGTCAGAAGAGAATGTTGCATAGAAGCAAGATTGTTGTATCCTCAAACTACTAAACTTATTTAATTTTACACTGAGTGCCACTATGGAACTTGCTGTTCTCCACTGGGACTCTGAGGAGGGAAAGGAACTTGCCTGTTATTTATAAATATTTGCAAATACTTAGAACTTACATTACCTGCAAAACCTAAACTTTATTTTGCATGCTGCATATAGGTGATTAAAATACTCATGAGAATCCTTAGCATTCTGCATTTTTCTATGAAATTCTACTGTAATAACTGTACAAATACGAATATGCAGTTGACACTTTGTACTAGTCCCCTACATATAATTTATACAGCATCATTACCATCAAAACTACCTTCTCTAAATGTTTCTGTTGCAAATGGGCAACCTGAGGGTTAAATTTACATAAAGACACTTGTAGGTGGAAAAGAACATAAACTACTACAGTTATTTGGCTTTTATATATTCTTGGAATGGATTACTACACAAGATGACCCCTTAGACTTGCCTTATCTCACTTTGTGAATTCGAATTATCAAGAATAAATGGGAACAGAATTCTAACGTGTATGATGAGATAATGTTTTATGTAGGGCTCAAAATAATGTATTACTCATACCAATCCTGTCTTCTGGGGAGTGTGCTGGGGTTTTTCTGTATATACCAGAGGTCACATCTCTCCTGACTGCATGTGAAGAGATGATGCAAGAGTTTTGGAAATGAATTTTTGCTGTGGACAGGAAATGTATTGGGAAAGGATTGTTTTCTTCTTTTTGCCTCACAATGTGATAAGCTGATACTGAAGCCATTGGATATTTTAATGTGGCTTGTGAGCTAATTTTTGAAGTGGTTGACGTGTGCACGCTAAGTCATCAATTAGGAGTAATTAATATATACTTCAATTTAGTGGAATTGCTGAACCTTTGATGTGGAATTAGGTATTTTGATGGATGAAGGTTTTGATGAACAAAATTAATTTATGCAACACTTGATTTTTGTCATTAGTCTTTTCACTGATGTTTAGCTAATGTCTGTGACAGGCCTTTTTCAATGACTCAATGCTGTGCTTTTAAGTTGTTGCTTCTGTAGGAGTCAGTGGAATTCCTCCTGTGTTTAGCATTAAAAGCCTTTGGGCTCAGGCTGGACGAACACTTGAGGCACTTGCACTGTTTAATTGAGCCCTGTGTTAGATTCATGGAGCTGCTTCCAATTGCTGAAGGATCAAATGAAGATTTAATTGTAGCTGAACCTGAGCTCTTCTGTGAGTCACCTCAGCACAAAGGAAAATAATTTGTCTGTGTTGTGTCACAACTGTATATGTGCACCAGATGGCTTGATGGTGTATTCAGGGAAGCTGTGTGTGTACTTCTAAATACTTCTAAAATATTTCCTTTTCTTTCCACAAACCTTTAATATTGATTCCTTTTCTAAATGTATTATAAAACACTGGACATTGAACATCCCCAAAGGGCTTCATTTTAGCTGTGATCCAGAGGGGGCTGTCTCAGTTTGTGACTAGAAATCAGCAGAAAAGCACACACCACTGCTTGTTGTCCTTTCCCCTTCCCTTCTTCCCTTTCAGAATCTTTCACATAATCTTTTCTCATTAAATTTGTTAAACTTTTGCATCAACGTGAAATGAAGTTAATGTTTGTTTATTGGCAGACACCACACCTTGACAATGAATTG